CTTTTGAGTTGCCTTACTGACATAAATGAACATTTGCACGATATTCTAATTTTTTGAGTTTCACCTGTATATATGCATATGAAGTCAAGGCAGAGGCATGGTCATCTTAATGTATTGGGTTGCAGATCCTGATCAAGACTTGGTCACAAAAAGTCCAATTTCCAAGCAACTGAAGCCATAATAAGCTGAATCTCTTTCCTCTTCCTTCAGTAGGAAAAAAAAGTTATATCCAGACTACTGATGTTCTGCAATGTATCATGATAATAGTTGCATAGAAGTGGGTTCACAAGGCTTGGCATTCTATTTTCCCTATTTTACAGTTGGGAAAAGAAGGCCCATTAATTATATAAAAACAATCCAATGCATCTGAGAAGTAGATATTAGTGGCTGGTTATCAAGCTGCTAGAAAAATCTTGGTCATTTCTGAGTCCAAAAATGGGTTGGATGTTGATTGGAGTACGAACCTTAAAGACCTGTTTGTTTAGAAGACTGAAACTGCTGTGTGAAAAGAGTGTCCTGGAATCTGTGGCAGTCGATTCCTAATTGCTATTCTGTTTCAATTATTTTCCCTTTTCTTTGTCTAATTGGCATGGGAAGTGAACGATCAACAGCACCCGGGGAACTCACATCTTAATTCTAGAAGAGCGTTCCCCACAACTCATAAATAATCAGCAGTATAGAATGCTCTCTTATTTTAGGAGACTCAATGGGACTTGGGGAAAAGAATAAAAATCAGCTGAGGGCCACTTGCATTTTTACCTTTGATATTTGTCAGGGCAGCCCCTGCTGAAAGACTCTGCAAAACTTCAGGCACAATGATACTCTCTTGAGCTGTGCTTTCCCCCAGGGACGGGAAGTTACTTTTCAAGCTCTTGAGAAAACAAAGTACTTGGATCAGCAGGATAACTCAGCAAGAATTGCTTGTCTGATGCAACAGTATGAGACCACATGGAAGGCAGGCCTACCGATCACAGGAGAAAAGTGGTTGTCTTTTATTGTATTCTGTTCTCTAGAAAATACTCTAATGCTGGGAAAAGTGGAAGGAAAGAAAAGAAGAATACCAGCAGCAAGGTGGATGGACTCATTTACAGTGGCAATGAGTGCACTGTTGAAATGCCAGGTTAGAAATAGATCATCATGGGGAAAATCTGGTCACTAGGAGTCAAAAACAACTTAATGGCATATAATCTTTCTTTCTTTCTTTCCTTCTTTTCTTTCTTCTATTGTGCTGCTTCATGTCTAGGTCCTTGGCTTACCCAAAAGGATTGACAACCTGACTGACCCCGGAAACATGGCATGGGTAGGTTTCTCTACAATGACTGCAGACAATGGACCATAGGAAGAGAGGGAATGAGAACTACCCAGCTTAATGATCTCATTTTCTTTTGAAGCTGCTACTGAAAGGACTAAGTCCCAAGAATAGTGCCCCAACCATTGGAAAACTCTCCCAGTGAATCCAGGAAAAAAAAGATTTCTGGGTCTCAGAAGTTAAAGCTGTCCAAGTACATTAAATAGAAATACAGTAAAGGAAAATAAAAAAGGAAAAAAGACAGCAGTCCTCTCACAACATGAGATCAGGGGAGGGGGAGCAAGGGCATTTTTCATTGTATATACCCCATTATTGTTTAATAGTTTACCTCCAGTGATTCAGATGGCTCCTCCCTAATAGCATTTTGAAAAGCAGTTCAAATATAATTAAATGACTTTTAATTAAAATATAATTGTGGAGGGAAGGGATGGTTTATATATATGTTAGGTTCAGTAGGCCAGCTTTTTATTTTTATGTTTTTTATGTTTCAGTTGTAGTTTTTTACTTTTTCTTTTGCAAGTCCTGCCATGGATAAATCAAACACTGACAGCTCTTGTGAAGAGCTGAGGTTGGCTTTGTGGTTTAGGAGAGGACTTAAAATATTTTTTATGTTTTATTTTAATTGGTATATTAAATTTTAAATATAGTTTTACATATTCTAAACTACCTAATGCAGTAAGTTCAGAGTGATCACCATGCAAAAGCCAACAATGTCAACTTAAAAATACTGAAAATACTTATCCATTTTTTAATAAGATGTGCAAATGTTCTAGTTCAATATGGCGATTTCAAGTGTTCTGACTATGAAACAAAGCTTGACTATTTATATCATTTTGAGTGTTTTCACTGCTTTCAGCAATATTAATCGAGTTGCTGTTTTATGTGAGGCAGGGGGTATTTAAACATTTTTCAGGAAACTAAGCTATTGGTTTAGGATGGATAGGATAATGTGGGAGATAAATGTTGCTAGAAAAGAAGCAGTTAAGCATATAGCCCAACAGAAAAAATTTGTTTAGTGCTGACTTGGATAATCACTGTTGTTTTTTAAAAAACAAAAGCAAAAGGGAAAGTTTGCAATGGAACTTAATAGCACAGGTGGCTGGAAGAGGGGTTGCAAGTGTGTTGTGATGCATTGCTTTACTTTACAAATGAGCAATGCAATAGTGAATATGTGTGCAAACATTCTGCACCAGCTGAGGCTATATAAAAACTACTAATACAATGGTGTTTCTTTTTTAAACTTTGGAGCACATATGAACTCTTTACAAATCATTCTGTCTCCCAGAAATCTTGATTCCTCCTTCCAACATGGATCCAAATATAGGCTGCTGTGAGGACGGGTTTAAAATTAAGAATAGTATTGGTTTGCATCCTGAAGGTCTACAGCTTCCATTATCACCTTTAATCCTGCAATACACACAAAAGCCCCACCACCACCACCACTCATGATGACCCTTCTGCTGAGAATACCATATGACCAGATAGTCTCTTGTAATTCTCCAGAAGGTATAAAGACTGAGTTAAGGGTCATGATCATTCAAACTTCTGTTCTAGAATATTAACTGGTGGTAGAATTACTTAATGGTCAACTATATCAGAATATGCTACTATGCTATACTCTACTTTGGTAATGGCTTACATTTTTAACACTATCATAGCACCATCTGTTGGCAAAGCCAGGAGTTGATATGTTGGTAACAATTAAGAAAACAACAACCCACTGCATATTTTACTTGCTCACCCTTCTCTATAGCCCTCTCACAATTTCCTAATTAGGGGCAGCCTGATTTTATTTCCTTTCAGTGGATAGGAAATAAATACATACATCCAATAAGACTGTTAAAATATTTAAATAAACTTAACAACTGGTTAAGTTTGCATACATTTTTATATTAAGATAGATGCTTGGCACCAATGGAATCTCTTTTGCTCATGGAAGAATAATTTCTAACTTAACATTAAACAGCTGTGCAGGAAAACTCCAAATCATGAATGCAGTGTTTTAAACACATGCTATATAATTTTATCAACTTTATTTCACCATTTTTGTATTTGTTTATATAAATCGGGTTACTGATGCTATATTGCTACTACTTTTTCCACTGCTTATGCTAAAGGACTCAGTAGCTACCAGCCAAGTTAGCTAGACATTAGCAACATACACAAAATAGAAAATGTGTTTTGTTTAGTCTGGAATAAAACAGTCCTATGCAAAACATTCTGTTGAAATGTTTCAAGCAGGCTATGTTCTGTTTGAACAAAACACAAAACTGACTGGTGAACAAAACTCAAAATATTTCAAGTGTTCCAGCCACAAGAAACAACAGGAGCTTGGGATCACCTGCTTTTCTCTTGCTTTTCAATCTAGGGCCACAAGAGTAGATAAGCTAGAAGTCTATCCTGAGAAAGAAAATTGGCCAATGGTATGACATGACACTTAAAATACTCTGAAAATATTAAAATCAATCTCCCCCAAAGCAGTGGGAGAACGGGTGTTTTCACCAAAGGGAAAAAAAAAATCTATTAAAATATTATCACTCCAACCTCCCTCCCCCCAAGACTATTCTCAATAGAAAAGCCAGATAAACTTTTGTTAGCTAAATATCCTGCATCACCTATACAAAAGATTATAGAACAAAGAAAATGGCTGATCTCTTTAAGGTTCCTTTCATTAGTTTATGCCCTCCCCTCTTTATTGATATTTTGAGGGTTTTTTAAACAAATAATCTCTTTGGCCAATTTTCTGTATGCACTTTTTTGGTCTTTGCGGACTGTTCAAGTGCAACCATGTTATTTTAGCTTACAAACATAGATGGCTGCTCACCTCAAAAATAAAGTTGCTAATACTTCTGAATTGCTTTAAAACATTAAGATGACAAATACAAGAACACGCACACCAAGGTTTAAATGTGATGTGATATTTTCATTTATACAACCTCAACAGACTTAGCAGTATCTTCATGAAGCAAACTATCACATAAATTCATTTACATTATTTGCCTGCAGAACCACAGCACAACACACACGGAGCTCATCTTATCTATCCATAAGAAATCGTTTGAGGGCAAATATTTCAAGATAAAAACATTTTGTAGATACCTACTACATTTAACAGATGTGCCTAGTGTGTAGAATGAAGAACACTTTTTTACAATTCTTTAAAGCATCTGCATCATATAGATCAGAAAAGGAGCCATACACTTCCAGGAAAATATATAGCTGCTTTAAAGAGTTGGATATACTATTTTGTGTGCCTGTGTGCTCCAAGGTACTTTTCCTGAAACAATAATATGCAATTCATAGTGGTACTATAGCCATCCATCATCAGTTGTTGTATCAACAGTACACAGATACTGCCCTAATGTCTTATGAAAATCAGGAAAATGAATTATCAGCATCTATTGTTTATAAAAGAGCATATGTACATATTTTTCACTCATGGCTCAGTATAAAAAGCTGTCCCCCCCCATTTGCTTTTTCTTTATCAAGTTGTATATTTATCACCCTCTAAGTTAGAAGGGGGTTAGAAAAGACCCAAGAAGTGAGCCTTTTCTGTCGTGGTACCTACAGTATGGAACATCATTCCCACAGATATTAGATTGGACCTGACCCTGCTGACCTTTCACAAGACCCTGAAAGCATGTTTCTGTTCCCATGTAGCGGGATTGTCAATTTAAGCCCATGAGATGGCAATGTTAATTGTTGTTTGATTGGTTTTTACCTTGGCTGCTGGTTATATATTTTAGTTTGCTGTTGTTTGTGTTTTTAACTGCTGTAAGCTACAGAGTCACTATGTTGAGATGGGTGGCCATATACAGTAAATTGAAATAAGTAAATAAATAAATAAATGACATTCTAAGCTGTAGGACGAAAATGTTCTGAATCTCCAAAAAACTATTATAATACTGTTACCTTCTAGTTAAATATTACATATTGCCGTCTCTACAGTGTCACAGTTATACAAAATAGTTTATCGTATAACACACAAGTTTTTTCCTCTATGACATATCTATTTTTAAACAGGAAACATGAACTCATGCCATTTGGCACACCAATCTGTTTTAAAAGAAGTCTAAAAGTTTACCTGTAAAACTTTCACTGAAGTCATAATGCTGTTTCAAAGGATAATTGATCACCACTTTAGGAATTTGTGCAGTTATATTCACAATTCCAGTATGAGCTTTTCCAATCACAACTGGAGCAGGAGAATTTGCATGGCCTGTTGTAAAGTGACCGCTGATTTTTCTTTCTGGTGTTTTTAATAAATTGGTATTCTAAAAGCAGAATATATTAAAAATCAGTTTAATAAAACATGCTACTGTATATACAAAAATAAATTAAAAATTCTAGTGATAACAGGAGATTTCACATTTACTTCAATTCTGGGGAATATATGTGATTTTTTGAGAAAAGTTGAAACTGGCCATTTTACATATACATGTTTATAAAAGAGCATATATACATATTTTTCAGTCATGGCTCAGTATAAAAAGCTGTCCCCCGCATTTGCTTTTTCTTTATCAAGTTGTATATTTATCACCCTCTAACTTAGAAGGGGGTGAGATGTCTCCCTGATTGTTTCTAGCCATCCCATCAGATCTGAATCATAGGCTGAAACTGCACCAGGTTTTCTGGCATGCTTAAAAAAAATCTGGGGCCCTAAGAATGATCAACACAATCCCCTTTCAATATATATTTGAGGGAGAAAAACAATGTGCAGACTCAACATTCTGGGGGCAGAAGTTCCAGGGAACACCGGAAACTTCTTTTTCCCTTCCAGACAACACTAACCCAATAATTTTTTAAAGAAATCTGCCAGAAAAGGAAGCAGTTTGTTGCATTCAAGATATGGTCACTTATAGTTTCAGAAGATTTACTTCTGAAAAATTACTGGACCATCTTAGGAATAGTTAAGTCAGTGCAGTTCATAAGGGGAAAAAAGAGAATTTTTTAATGTTCTTCAGAAGAGTTTTAAACACAAGTAGGCAACTGTGAAAAGCCAGTCTCCACCTGCTTCTCTCTAAGAATATAAGCCACCTGTTAGAATATATTCTCCTGTGGGAGATGCTATGACACATATAATCCTGGAAGTGGGGAGGTGGAGCTGAGGAGTATTAAATAGGGGCAGATAAGATCTAGCAGTGAAGTAAAGCTATATATTTAGAGAAGAGTCTTCCTGTCAGCATTAAATTGGCAAAAAGGACAAAAGTTACAAAGCTCATAGAAAATAAGCACCTCAAGGCTCAGTAGACATTTCTAGGAGAAAGTGATGGGCTGTGGAAGGGAGGTTGCTGGGTTTATGTAGGTAAGACACAAGCAGAGAAGATACAGTCAGTACTCCAGCAGACTGAAAGCCTCAGAAGTTCAAGGCAAAGCTGACCTGGGAGAGAAGACTGGGAAGAAGAACAGTCTTGCATTTCGCCCAACCCTTTGTTATGCAAAGTCCATTAATAATACATTAAGTCTCCATTAATTGCCAGGACCAGAAAGAGGAGGAGCTGGGAAGTAGCTACATGGAATCCACAAGAGGCCAGGACAAGAAAGCTGGTAAAATAAATTCCCACATACAAAGGAGAGTTCCCACACAGACTGTTGGGACAAGTGTGAAGGATGAGAGAAAGGGAGATGGGAAGGGGTGTGTAGCATCAACAGAACGAGGGTGACTGGTATTCTACTTTGAGCCTCCAATCTTAGACAAGGTGCCTGAAGGAAAAAACTGGAACAAGCAAGACAAGTCATTCTGGGGGAAACAGGAGAGATAAAGGAGAGATACTCAAAGTGATAAAAATCTAAAAGCTAAGTTGAAAAACAATAAAAGAATCAATAAAGTGTTAAACAAAAAAGGAATTAAGTTAAAATAAGATAAAGGGCAAACCTTTAGAAATGTAAAGGGTAAGGTTTAAAATGGATACAAATAAAAAGCTATTGCCTTTAGTATGGGAAAGGACTCTATATATTTGAACAATAAGGACTTTTTGGAATATAAAGTTGATGTCTGCCTGGTTGCCATTATCCCTTATAAAAAGGAACCTACAAGAACACATAAACATAAAAATTTGAATTATAAACATAAGTATATATGATTTTTAAACTTTTACAAATAATTTTCTTCCACTAAGACTCAAATCAATTATAACTATTTCTCTCACAAATTTACTAGGAATAAACTTTAAAAACACTTCATTTAAATCTTGAAATTACAAGTGTGTCTAAATTTGTATTTTCACTTGGCATCCATTCATTATTACTAATTCGTTTAGGATTATTTTTCTGCTGAAAAATTAAGCCACCCACATCTGTGGCTAGGACAGTTTTCTTTTTCTGTATACACAATAAAATAATACAATTCTTAGTGCAGCCCCTCTTTGATGGAAAGGGAACAATGTAACTTTCACTAGCTGCACATAAGGTAGGCTAAACATCCTCACTCATATGCTCGATGGGCTATAGGTCAGTTGATATCAATTGCTTGGAGACTTTTCACTAAGGGGACAGAATGTGTGGTCTTATGGGCAGTTTTATTTTAATTACAGTGCCAGTGTCACTCCCTAGCATCCTGAAGCAAAGTACTGTTAGTCTCATTGGGCACAGCTGTATTTTGGGCCCTGCTACAGAGCAATGTCAGAAACTTTTGCCATGCGTGGAAAGCATTTTCAGCATTTTACCTAAATTTCTTTTTAAACCTTTGGCCGTTCAGCAGAAACAGCACATAGTGAGTCTTCATCTCAGTAGTTCTTCGGTCATTTCTCTTATAATACACTGAAAAGTCCCTTTGTTTGAAAAGCAGTATAGTAACTGAAAGGCTACTTCAATCATACTTATTATTTCTATTGTTTCATCATTCAGAAATACTAAAAATATGTAAGTTCTTATATTAGGATTGTGATAACTCTATCACATTTAGAAGTATCAAGTTCATTTCATCAATACATTCTTAATATGATGAAATTTGGAATTATCAATATTTGTTCAACATTTTTATCACAAAATATACCTTATTTCAGTAACTAAACTACTTTGGATAGTTGTCTGCTGCTGACATATATTTTAGTTAATCAATTTCAGCTTATTTTTTTAATCTCACCCTTACTGTGAAAGCCACCAGTCTTTTGCCTTTCCGCAAAAAAACCAGTGAAATTTTAGATTTGTGAAGATATTTCAGCTGTTTGGCAGCAATTTTTAAAGAGTATTCAGCCTACTTTACTTAACAACTATGTTTTGAGTGACAAGCATGGCTCTTTGAAATTGCTAAATTTTGCCTATGGGTAATAGCCATACTCTGCTTATTTCACGGTCTCTAGACATGCTTTCTTTCTATTGTTTTTTTATCACACATATAATTGATCCATTATCTTCCCCAACTCATTTTAATTTTAGAAATAGCCAAGTTGTCCATTTCTACTTTTATATTTCATCATGGCAATTCAGGTCATTTTCATATTTTCATTCTTCAAGAGAATGCAGCAATAGAACATACTGCCATCAATTAAAAGTAAAAGATCTTAAACTGTCTTAAAGACCTTGAATTATTCAAACTACCCCATAAGCGTCTATTAGCATTGTTGATGATTTTCCATTAATAAAATGTAAGCACTTGTATCTGGAAATACTAGAGATTGAATTTAGGATTTTATACAAGTAGAGCACAAAAAGATCTCCCCAGTACTAGAGTCCAGATTTTTGAAGTCCAGCAGTTGGAAAAAAAAGCTATTACTTATACAGGCATCTGTTTTGGCTATACCTTTGATGATTTTGAAGGCATCTTCTTTGCTGATCTTTTAAAGCCCTGTTTTGAAGCAGACTTCAGTTGTAGTTTTGGGACACCTTGTTTCACTACTTCTGCCCAAGACTTTGCAACTAGAATGACAATTGTTGAAGATTATTCACCATAATCATTTTTAACACATAAAATATCTGCTATACAACCATGTCATACTATATTTGCAATCTAAAAGGTTTAATTCTGTCTTTATAAATTATCAAATTTACAAAATTTAATTCTGTTTTTGTAGAACAGTCTACAAAAACAATTATAACACACCTATTAGGTTGGCTTTAGAAGCACCACTTCGTATTTTAGATCGAATAGCATCCATAGCTCCACTTTTTCCAAGTACAGAACTTCTCCTTGGAGTATTTGGATTGCTCCTTCTCAATGATGAAGCAGCTTTAGATTT